AAAAGATTTGTCAACCTCACGACTGGTGGAGGAAACTATAGATCTTATCAATAGGATCTCTTTCAGGTTTGAGAATAAGGTGACCCTTATTTGGATACCAGCACATAAAGGACACCATGGCAATGAAAAGGCGGATGGCCTAGCCAAAGAAGGTTCTAATACTGCGTTTGTTGGACCACAACCGGTATTACCTCACTCTATGAGCACAGCGAAGGAGAGTATCAATAGCTGGGGCATGAAACAATTCCTTAGGGAGTGGAATTTATCCCCCGGACACAGGCAATCGAAAGAGTTTGTTAAGGCGATCAAACCAGCAGAATCGAAATGGCTATTCTCTATCTCAAGGAAGGGAATTAGGAGGCTGATAGGTATTCTGACGGGCCACTGCCCACTGAGAAGACACCTCTTCGTAATGGGTATCCTACCAGATCCCTTTTGCCGCTTCTGCGAAATAAAAGAAGATATAAATGTTAAAAACTGTCTTCCGAGGGGGCAATTGCTTAACAATGCTTTTTATGTCAAATAAGCCCTACTTAAAACAATAAAAGTAAACTCTCTCTCTCAGGGGGAGTCGGTGGCCACAACGGTTGACACGGCGCTCATCACTGTAAGGTGAAGGTCCCGGGTTCGAATCCAGCGTTCCTGCATTCGAACCCGACATACTTACGAATGGGCGTTTTTTTCAAAAACACAGGCACCCCGAGGGTTGATATAACCTCTGCTGTTGCGAACCCTCGTAAAAAAAATGTAATAATAATCTTTTGGAATGTGACCTATTTACTAATTAAACTCCAACTATCTTTTATGATTTCTTTGCGGTATATGATATATTTTGATCCTTTTTTATCGAGTTCTCTACATCTCTATCTATCTATCTCTATAGATGTATCTATTTAGCAAGATAGATAAATCTATCTCTCTCTCTCTCTCTCTCTCTCTCTCTCTCTTTCTCTTTCTCTCTCACACACTCTCTCTCTCTCTCATTTTTTATTTATATCATCTTTTTATCGGAGAATCTCAAATCATTACACAATATTCTGCATGTAATCAAACGCAGCGATACACTGATGTGGTAAAATAATTCCATTTCTTATTCTTATAATTTCTTCTTTTTTAATTATTTCTTATTCTTCTTTTCTACATCTCTNACATGCAATCAAACGCAGCGATACACTGATGTGGTAAAACAATTCATTTTCTTAACGAGTACTATCATCTGACCCTACCTCACACCCTCTCTCTCTCTCTCTCTCTCTCTCTCTCTCTCTCTCTCTCTCTCTCCCCCTCTCAAAATCGACTTTTCTTACTTTTCATTTCGGGCCGACATTTTATATATTTTTTACCAATATAAGTCCATTTTAACCGAGAATAATATTGGACGAAATGTCTTCTTGATATATTTAACTATGACCTATTAACAGAGAAATATCATAAGTTAGTTGCATATGAATTTAACCGAGTCGAAAGAATGGATTGATGAACCCGAGAAAAAGCACGAAGTATTTCAAATATATAATAAATAAAACTGAAGTATAGATTTATTATTTATTGATAGTTTTTAAGTGTTAAGGAATCGATTTTTGTATTAAAATGAGTTTGACGAAGCGAAGGATGTTGAAGAGAACTAATTTTTATCCCGTTACGAGACTAATTAACGTTGCTAGGGGTGATTAAGGATTTTGTTTGCGACATTAGACTTTTTTTTCATCATCATCATTATCCTTTCTCGGGTCCGGGGTCCGAGGGAGAAAAGTCAGTAAACGCCATGTCGTCAGGCGATGCTAGAGGTTTTAAAATTGCAAAACGCGTATGCCCCTTGCATTTATAGCGCCGTTAAGGGCGAAAGGGATCCCCCGTCAGCCCCTTTACCCGGGGTCAAATATAGGGCAGTTTTCATTTTCCATGAGTCCTCCCACGGGACGTTTTAATGAAAGAGTTTTATGCAAAGGCGTACAATTTGGGACGGGACTTTCGTTGTTGCTCTTTCCACTGTCCCAAGATTTCCCTTCAAAAAGGGCATTACACGTATTTAGCGCGGCGATATTTATTAGGAAATTCATAAAATCTACCCTTCGTCGTAGAGGGAAGGCCCTTTTTAGCTTGTAAACCCCTTTTGCTCGAGTTAATTCCTGAATTATATTAGCCCCGTACATTTCTAACAGAAGATTATCCGCGAGCGTGAATTAATAGAGGAGAAAAGTTTTATAAAATTAAAACTTTACAGGATAAAAGGGGAATATTAATTTTCTTTAATCTCTTATAACCTACTGTCAAAATGGTTAAAAACTTTAGATACATTGCAAAGTGTGTGATTCTTTGTTCAATGTTGTTTTTAGTTCATATTATTCTGACTTGTTACTTATTTATTCATTCGCCGTTCCTATTCTGTGTTGTTTTCTTCTCCCCTTGGCTGTTTTTTCACTATTATTAATCCGTATATGTAATAGTCACAATTGACCGTATTAGTTTAATTAATTACACTTTTTATCTAAGCGGGATTTTAACCCACGACCGTCTGTTCAACACGCCGTGACACTAATTTTTTCATCTCGAACAAGGCCTTAGATAAAAAGTACAAAATTAAAATTAATAATTTGCTCTTTTTATTTTTGTCATTTTCTTTATTCTTTCGCTTCTTTTATAGTTTCTATTTTTAAGCCGAATTCGTTATCGGGTTAAGGGAGAAGAGGTCTCGGGCTATTGACGTTTGTGAATGGTTCTTGAGATCGCTGGTAGTCGAGAGGGCTTGAGAAGAAAGGTTAGGACGGGATGAAAGATTAGAGCGAATTTTGGGAAAAGCGAACACGGATCAATTCTTTACCAATTGTTAAGTTGAAGGTGGATGGCAATTAAAAACGCTGTAGGGAACTTGGGTAATTCTTCAGAAAAACTTTGATTCGAATGTTTTAACTTGTTTGATATTAGATGGGTCATTTTAGTTTAAGGCGATATGGCGTGTTCTCGGGGTGGAAAAGTGTATATAGAGCTTTGGCAGTAGTGTTATGATGGATCGAATGATTGTTCTGAAACTTTTAGAAACTGGATCAGATCACCTCAGGCAAAAGCAGTGTGGAGGTTGTTATGGATGGTGAGATTAATGTCGTGGTAAGGAGCTTTGACAATTTGTCAAATGACTTTTGATTGAAATGTTATAATTTGCTTGAAATTACACGGGTCATCTTAGTTTAAGGGGATATGACGTATTCTCGGGATGGGAAAATATGTATAAAGTTTTGGCAGTAGGGTTATGATGGATCGAATGATTGTTCTGAAACTTTTAGAAACTGGATCAGATCACCTCAGACAAAACGAATGTTGAGGTCGTTGTGAATAGTGAGGTTAGTGACGTTTTAAGAAGCTTTGACAATTTTCCTGTAGACTTTTGATTGGAAAAACTTGGCGAAACAGAAGTTCCAATTTTTACAATCATGTACCGATTTCGTCTGTTTAGTTCTTGTCGCTTAATTCTTCTGCCATCCCCATCCAGTGCAGACGTCGGTAGTTCCTTAGGGTAAGGCTGTTTAGGCCACCTGAACCTAATTGAAGTGCAGTTCTGCTTGTTCAGTTTCATTTTTCACATGTTCAACTATTCTTCCAAGAGATCAAGATAACCTGGATATTGGAGGTAGCTTGGGTAGGATTTGAGTTGGGAGATAAAACTGCGATATCGTCTGCGTAAGTTGTAAGAATGGTTTCGGCAATCAAAATAGTATGGGACCAAGTACTCATCCTTGTAGGACGCCAGCTTGGATAAATAAAATCTTAGAGAACTCATTGTTTGACTTACTTGTTAAAAACGATTTTAAGATTAGGTAGGAACTGCTTTAGATTGAACACTCCCAGTGCCGGAATCAAGAGCAGTACTCCCAGTTCGAAAAATCTGAGGGAATATTGTCCAACCCTGACACATTGCTAACTCGTAGAATTACCAGGACATAAACTGAATTTATGAGAAGGAATGGGTTTATCTAAATCTAGGATGAGTATTATGGAAAAAGGCTTAAAAAAATGTCTTGGAATGGGAGGTTTCTGAGTATTGTGTGAGTTATAAGATCATATCTGGAGGATTTGTGAATATGGGGTTTTACTCCAGATGGCTGAAAGGTTTGGATAGGTGGATAAGAAGGATGATGAAGATGGATACTAGGAAGTGCAGTTTTTGTTCCCATGAACTACAGCCTTCCGGCTTATTGTATTTTCCTAGTTCCTTAGTTCAGTATATTCGATTCGATCTTTCTCCTAGGAGGTACTAGTGACTGTCGTTGCAGCAATTCCATTCTTTTGGATTTCCATTTATCGCAGATTATGTCTTCTTTGAGCACTTCGCATACGAAGATGATATGGGAGGCTGTTCTTGGGATAAGAAGGAAATGGGATACCAATGTCCATGATGTTATTTAAATCTGGATGAGGAGTAGAGGTGTGTTCAAAGTGGGTTGAGAACAGGTTGGACTTGTCCTAGCTCTTAAGCCAAGACCCAAGGTAATCGGATATGAAAATCAAACCAGAGGGAGTTATGTGTTGTTAAAAAAAAATTTTCTGTAAACTGCAACGAGCTGTAGGAGAAAAATAAGATAAACAAGAGAGCAGTTGACTGATTGAACACACAGATAGCTTTCAAGGACTTGTTTGGGCCTTAAATTATGCGTTTTAGGTTGGTTCCTTGGTTTAGAATGTTGAGTTATGCTTTACATGAGAAGAACTGATGATCAGAGGATAGATCATTCAGGTACTATCTTAACTATGCATGTGCGCTAGGTTTCCCATTTTCCCCGATTCTTCACGATTCTTGACCATTTTCTAGAGCGGCAGGGTTCCTGTGCAATCGTCCCAATTTCCAGTATGCATGCATAAATTAGAAAAAAATTACTGGATTCGACTTTATTTAACGGTCTGACGGCTCGGTTGTTAAGGAAATACTTGACAAATAAATGACAATAAAACATGCAAAGTGTGGCACACGGGGTAAAAAAACAATCATTCGCAACTCTCAAACTCACTCTAGTCTGTGGTTGGGCGTAATATTCTCTTTTCATCCTGGGCTGAACGAGAAAAATTCATGTAGAAAGTCAATCCTAGGTTGTCGTGACATAAAAAAACTATATACTTACAGGCACGATGAGGTAGGTGTCGATTTTGTGATCCGAGAGGTAAGAATCGCGCTGGGCGCCGTTGCCGGGTTCGAACTTGAACCTGTCGTTGAGCTGCATCAGGGTGGCTTTCGTCACGTGGACACGGCTGAAAAACACCAATTGTTCAATATTATGAGGATAGTTGGAATTTGATAGTGCATACCCCGGGAGGCCTCCAGATTCCATGTGGTTGGCCAGTGTCACGTCGTCGCTCCAGACGTCGAACTGCCATTTCCTCAAGCCGAGGACGCCGCAAAGTACGTTGCCCGTATGAACACCGATCCTCATGTCGACGTTGAATCCCGTCGCCTCACGCACAAACCTAAAAAACCATAATAAAACGATCATAATCATATAATATAAGATAAATTATGCTGTGAACAAAAACAACTGTAAGCCTTTTTTCGTCTTGCCCTGCTTATATGCCAAAATTATTGAACCAATTTAGAAATCTAACAACAAAAAAGAACATTGGTCTTATTAAGTACTGGTGCAAAAAGTGAAAAATAAGACTGAATAAGGACAAATGAACCCAGTATCTGTACAGCTGTACGCTAACAAGGAGACACCGATTGTCCACTCATGTCAGTTACACAGGAATATACTTAGAGAGCACAGTGACTACAAGACTTAAGAGTCAACTAGTTATCCGAAGACTTGAATAACTATGAGGACCTTTAGGATAAAAATGGATTTTGACTGTCAAACCTCAACTAACTTTATAAACTCATTATTGATCCATTTTGGACATATGGAGTAGAAATGTGGGTTTCCGCCAAGCCATGCAATATCCAGCGAATCCAATCTTTTTAATAACAAATCCTCAGATAAAAGTCAAAGTTTCTTAAACGCCACCAACCTTATTATCCATACCGACCTCAACATGATTTTTATCTGGGGTGATCCGATCCCGTTTCTGAAAGTTCCAGACTAATCTAATAATCTATCCTAGCCCTACTGCCAAGGCCTTATTTGCACTTTTCACGAGAACGAGCTATGTCGCTATCCATAATGACCTCAACAGGATTTTTATCTGGGGTGATCCGATCCCGTTTCTAAAAGTTCCAGACTAATTTAATAATCTATCCTAGCCCTACTGCCAAGGCCTTATTTGCACTTTCCCATCACAAGAACGCGCTAGGTCGCTATCCATAATGACCTCAACATAACTTTTATCTGGGGTGATCCGATCCCGTTTCTAAAAGTTCCAGACTAATTTAATAATCTATCCTAGCCCTACTGCCAAGGCCTTATTTGCACTTTCCCATCACAAGAACGCGCTAGGTCGCTATCCATAATGACCTCAACATAACTTTTATCTGGGGTGATCCGATCCCGTTTCTAAAAGTTCCAGACTAATCTAATAATCTATCCTAGCTATACTGCCAAGGCATTATTTGCAATTCCACATCACAAGAACGCGCTAGGTCGTTATCCATAATGACCTCAAGATGACTTTTATCTGGGGTGATCCGATCCCGTTTCTAAAAGTTCCAGACTAATTTAATAATCTATCCTAGCCATATTGCCAAGGTATTATCTGTACTTTCCCATCACGAGAACCCGCTAGACCTCGAAACCTCCTCGTCACTTAGCTGGTTCCTCTAACATATGTCCTCCGATCGCAGAGCTGGTCAGAGTGTCAGAGTTGTGACCAGGAAAAATGCACGCACATATTTGCAATATTTTAGTTATGTACAGTCAATTAATAAATTACAAGTACACGTACAATGTAAATAAGTAATATAAAAAGTTAGGTTTTTGCCTCGCCCTGCTTATATCTTAATATTATTATTTAAGTTGTGCCATCGGAATATGTTCTTGAGTTTCTGCTTTAAAAATTAAAAATAAAAACTTCAAAAACTACTAGGATATGGAATATTGATTTTTTTCTTTGGAACCAAAAAAAGGACGTCATCATATTTGGCGAAAATAAGGAAAATTTAGCATAAAATATGTTAACGGGTGAAATTCAATTAAAACTTGTATTTTAATGTTCAGATGAAGCTGTTTTCACTGTACAAGTATGTAATCTCACAACTTAGTAATTAGGATGCTTAAGTTACAAAGTGCTTTACTTTAGAATGTTCTTACACCCGTAAAAGGGACTGTCGACCTTTGTGATTAAAGTATGTCTACGGTTGGTCTGAAAGATTATAAAACATTACGGTTGAAAATATTTCAAAATTAGGGATAATTAGGACAGATTAAGGGTGATTAATGATAAAATCTACTGGCATTTTCTTGCTGTTGGGCTTAATTTCGACTCCTTCAATCTTTGGAAATCATCCCGCTAGGACCTTATTTCTATCCTGTACCCTGGTCCAGCAGAGGGCTTTTACGCTATGACGCTCCTAGGATGGACCTGGCGGAGACGATCGGTCGGGAAGATGGCGGCGAGGTTCCTCTCACACTTCTTCGCCTGGCCAGCCCCTCACGTACTTAATTTTTTTACGAATCGGGTTATGACTTTTAAACCAGACCTAGGGGCTCCTTCCTTCCTTCCAGGGTTCCTCCCATTGCGTTGGCCTTTCACTTATGGCTTCTATCCATTCACGACGAAATTTCATCATATAAGGGCAGTTCAAGCGCACATTCAGGGCCGTTTCATGTTCCACACATTTGCGAAGGAGCAAATGCTTCAGGCGAAACTTCCCAGCAAAGTCCCCATGCACGGCAAGCAATTGGGAAACTGGGAAAGATATCGGTAGTCTTCAATATAAGCACAGCTTGGAGGAAGTTGATGGGAACAGGGCATGGGTATGCCTGCCTTTTTGAAAGGCACAGTTTTTGGTTTGTTCCTGGTTTCCATTGTCTTATGATCCACTCTTCTATCTGGTATTTCTGGGCTTGTTGTGTTGCTGAGTTCAACGGTAATGACCTACGGTATCTATTTTCTGTAGAGACAGTTCTCAAGACCTCGTCATCTTCAATAGTACTTATTAGTAACCCGACATCAAAGCATTTACCGTGTTGCGTTTAACTTCTCGGCCAACACGAGACGGGCATACATCATTGGATTATTTGCGCTCGTATTTTGATGCGTGTCAGGTTGGTTCATCCCGCCTTTCTAAGTCATGAGGACGGTTTTGACTAGAGCCACCCCAGCTTCACGTCCTTCCACCATCCCTCGAGTGTTCCATTTGGTGTAGATGTAGATATTTTAACCCCACGCTCTATGCTTATAGCACACCGGTGAGTCCTAGTTCATCAAGGAGTTTGATTGATAGGTCCAGTCTCAGTGGTTGAATGGTTACTACGGTACATTGTACATCCCAATGTGGCACCACAGTTGCAAGCAGTCTCCTCTGCTTCTTTTCAGAATCTGCCGGGCTGTTATACCAATCTTCTTCAGATGCCCATTCAGCCCAGTCAAGATTCCAAGTTTTTCCTGCTTCCTTTGATACATTTTGTTGTTTCTTACATTCCAAAGTTTGCTAGAAGGTTCTTGGATGGTTTATGTCCAATGATTGAATTCCTCTGTTCCTCATTTTCATCTTATCCTTTTATCTATAATAATCGTTGATAGTGTGATATGTGCCATAGAAGGGTCCTATTAGCAGCTGCTTTGCTTGCAAGGACGTCCACTATCTCATTTCCCTTTCCTCCCACATGTTCTGGGACACAGCAGAAGGTGTCTTTATTTTCCTTACCTAATTTGTTCAGTTTAGTTTAGAAATTCAGCACCATACTTGAACTTATGTCCTGGTGTGGAAGTGATAGATGGTAAATCTTGTACTTCCTTGATTTTGGCCCTAATTTGTACTTCTTCCAGCCTTTAAGTTCAAAGACTAGTTTGACAAGTTGTCGAATTATAAAATGAATTTATACTGAAATTTTTGAAAATAAATTAAATCATAACTCGAAGAAAATGTAAACAACCAGCAAATTAATTTAAAAAATTAGAATTTCAAGCATAATTTGTTATATTTGTCAGTATGAAAAAAATCTTATAATAAAGTTTATTCCAGCATGACGGTCTGACACGACAGGGCTTTTAATTACAATAGCTCTTCAAGTCATTAACTTTTATGATCGGAGGCCACTTAATCAAAAGGGATGGCGTCTAAATGGTCTAACGTTGCAAGCCCCTTTCGACGAGCTCTCAAAACAAGAAATCCGATAGTGCCGACTATAATAACAATAACAATTCATCCCTTTGCTAATTGAATTCATAAAGTCGTGATGAATGTTTATATGTGAAGTAGTAATTGAACCAATGAGGTGAATGTTTAACGATCGTTAGGAAAATACGTGCGTTTTATGATCTATCCCCAAACACTTTTGAAAAAAAAATAGTCAACTCAAACTGATCAAGGCATTTGATAAGATGTCCGTCCCATTTTCTGAATTGGAAGGCTAGAAGTTATTTTAGGATATTTATTATATTCGAAAGGTCAAGGACAATATTATCTGTTAAAATCAAATTAAATTATTCCTATCAATTCACTGCATCTTCTGCAGTCCCCCAAGGATCACATTTTGGTCCTCTTATATTTATATTATTCCTAAAGATATTCAGAGCTTGTAGTAAAATTCATCTAAGGAGGATACTTGTTGATTTGTAAAATTTGCAAAATCTTTACCTCTTGACCAAATTGAATTAGGTATATCTTAACATCTCTAAATTTAAATCTGTCACTTTCCACTGGATTTTATAGATAATCATTAAATATAGTATCGGAAACAAATCATTAGTTGTTGATGACATTAAAGATTTGGGTATTATCATCGACACCCAATTAAAATTGCTAATTATAACCCAGATCCTTTCCGGTTAAGTAAGACATCCTCATAATCTTGTAATAATCATATAAAAATAAATAAAATAAAGAAGGACTTACTATTTACATGTTTGAACATATATGGAGGGGATGTTAATTATTAATAATCTTTGGTGTAAGGACTGGTGAAAAATCGGAAAACCCAGTTCCCTTACCAACAAAGAAAAGAAAAGAAATTTTTCTAACGTTTAAAACGGTTTGTTTCATCTTCCAACATCTATTTAAAGGTTAAAAGAGACAAATATATAACCCAGTTATAATCTTCCCTCATGATACCAAAAGAAGCAATATAAATTTTAGGAAATTTTGCTCGAAAAATGACCAAATTTAGAAATGCATTTCTCAGCCTTTTAAGTCACAGATCTGTGAAAGGTCACATTTTTTGGATAATACATTTTAGGAAATTCTGCTCGAAAAATGACCAAATTTGGAAATGCATTTCTCATTCTTTGAAGTCACAGACCTCTGGAAGATCTCATTTTTTAGATAATAAATTTTAGAAAATTTTGCTCGAAAAATGACCAGATTTGGAAATGCA